TTAAGTACACAAAAAGAAAAATAGAAAAGGAGAAAGAGAGTAAAAAGAAGAAGAAGAAGAGGAAGAGGAAGAAGAGGAAGAAGAACAATAGCCAAATTACAGTACACTTCCTGAATTTATATGGGACGTTTATATATGCAAGCAGCCATTTTAGAAAAGCTTGGCTCATCTTCTTCTTCTCTCGTAGTTTGTATGGTTCAACATGCTGCTGCTTTGCTGTTGCTCTGCTCTTTCGTGATACTAAACGAGAGAAAAGTCGAGCATGATTTTTCTTCTTTTTTACTTTTTCTATTTTTTCTAATTTTTTTTTTTTTTTTTCACCTTGTACCACGTCGTTTACTATGAATACGCGTTTGTTGACTGTGTGTTGCATTTTACTTGTTGTGTGTGTGAGATACTACGTTGTTGGATATACTATTACTATACCTCGTTACATCTTACTTTTTTTTCTTTTTACGACACGATAACTGGTTACGTTAAATAATTTTCTTTTTCTTTTCTTTTATCTTTTCTTTGTTTTTTTTTTTTTGTTTTTTTAATGTCTCGTAAGATTAAGTTAACGAAATAAATATGAATTTTTATGTTTAACTACAATCTTAGAATACATGTATGTATATATAGTGAATCTGAAAAGTTCAATATGAAATCAAATGTCGTAAAATTGTAGTTTATTAACTAATTTTGTTATATTTATATAATATAATAGAGAATAAATTTGTATGTTTAGAAAATATTTAAAATATGAATAAAAAAAAAAAAAGGAATAATAAAATAAATGAAATAAAGTGTACCTCATCAAGATGATAAATTAATTTGTTAGGAAGAAAAAAAATAAATAAAAAGAAAAACTTTAAGCTACATTATGCTGAAAGTAAATGAAAAACATTATAAAGAAATACATGGAAGATTATGAACAGGAAAATATAATATTTAAAATATAAAAATAATCGTGTGTGTGTGTGTGTGTGTGTGTATAATCAAAAAATGTGAATATAATTAAGTTTTCAAAAACGTTTTAATAACTAAAAATACTTAAATAAATAAATAAATAAAAAAATAAAATAATAAAATAGAAATACGTAATATTTCTGTAAAATTTTCACATCAAGAAATCAAGAAATTAATATAAATTTTTAAACGTCTTAATAACTAACTAAATAAATTAATTATTAATAAAATAATAAAATGATAAAATAGAAATACAGAATATTTCTTTAAAATTTCCATGTATGAAATTCTATTTAATAATTTTGATTTTCTAAGACCATAGAAACTGTACTTCTGAAACAACTAAGAAGTAATAGTAATATTAATAGTACTAGTAGTAGTAGTAGTAGTAGTAGAAGAAGAAGAAGAAGAAGAAGAAGAAGAAGAATAAGTAATATTGGTAAAGTTGCAAAGGGGGATGATGATGGTGGTGGTGGTGTGGGTCAACTTTAACGATTCGCAGACGACTAGGGTAATATGTCGGTTAAGTAAAAGGTGCACGCGTTCGTTTAATAAAGACGACAACGAAGTAAAGTAGTAGTGGTGGTGGTGGTGGTGGTTGGGTTGTGTACGTTGGCGTTAGTGTGCGCACAGAGCATTGTTTAGTAATTAATTTAGAACGGAGCTTACCGTGCTTTGCAAGCTCTATCGACCCTATTTCCCCACCTCCCTCCCGTCAACCTCACCATAACCACCACCATCACCACCAACCACGAATTGGTACACCTTTTATCTGACTACACACGCTCGTTAGAATTTTTTCATTCTTTTTTTGTCTCTCTCTTTCTTTCTTTCTTTCTTTCTTTCTTTCTCTTTGATTCGTCATTCGCGTAAAACTATTTTTCTCTTTCTCTCTTCTCTTCCCTTTTTTTTTTTTCCGAAAGCTTGTTCTAAAGAACCATAAAAAAGCTTTGTGTATGTGTGGAAGGGGGAAAGAAACCTATACAACGGATTTTATAAAGGAATTTAAAGTAATTTTCTTTTTTTTTTTTTTTGATTCAAAAACGCGTTCTGTTAAATCAACTTAATATAAAACTATTGTTCATTAAGGTTCTTTTTTGTTTTATCAAAAATTGACATTTATGAAATGGGTATTGAAAAATACAAAAGTTAATAGTTAAACCATCGTTCTTATTTCTTTCAAATTTTTTACATTTCGTAGAAAATAGATAGGAAAATTTTATAATATATTTATAAATATAATAATAATAATAATAATAATAATAATAATAATAATAATAATAATAATAATAATAATAATAATCACGACTATATTGCATATAATTCTAAAAACAAGTTGATATAAAATAAAATAAAATACAATATGATACAATAATATTTTTTTGATTCTAATAAAAAATATTTAGAAATTGTGATTTTCTTATCCCAAAAATAAAAACTAAATAATAATAAAAAAAAAAAAAATTAAAAAAATGGTAATACTTCCAACAAGTCAAACGAAAGATACCGAATTTTCTCGAGTTTCATTCACCCCTACATTTACACACATACATTCATATATAAAAGAACCGTTTTACACTTACACATATACCATCAAACCTTATATATATATATATAACCACATTGGTATCTAACCATATATACACACATATATACATAAAACTGGAAGGAACATCTAAAAAGTAACAGCTTGTACCTTACACACGTACCAATACTAAGAAAATATATAAGTGTAAGTGTGAGAAAGAGAGAGAGAGAGAGAGAGAGAGAGAGAGAGAGAGAGAGAGAGAGGCTTTCACGGCGATTGCTTTTTCGGCGTCGTTTGTCAGTCGCGATGCGAGCAGGGTGAAAAATCATTTGACCGTGGTGAATTCGTACCCGTAGGAAGAAGCTTTTTCTCTTATACCATCCCTTCAGAATCTTTTGAAGAAGTGCAACACACCCACCCCCTACTCTTCTTCTTCTTTCTACTACATTTCCTTCCCCTTTTTCCACACCCCCACTCCTATTAAACCTTATATCCCAGTCTCACCTCCCACCCACTTTTCTAACCCTTTTTTTTTTACACATAGAATAACCGAGAACGAAAAATACTTGAAATTCTTGGGGTTGATTTGCAGTTGACACTACACTACGTATCTACACACAAAAAATCACTCATCCTTACACAAATATATTTATTTATTTATATGTGTGTGTATATATATATATATAAAATCTTTTATCTTTATTCGATCATCGAAAAAAAAAAAAAAAGAAAATATCAAAATTTACGTTGGGGCAATTTTTTAACCTGTACGAAATAAAATTGAGATAAATGAGAACATGGAAAGAGTATACGTGAGTATGTGTATATGTTACACATGTGTGTTTGTGTATGAAAGTGAGAGACGGATATGTTGGTTGGAAAGAAAATGGGCGCACATATGTATCAGGAACGTGAAAAGAATCTATTTGATGAAATATTCCACCCATGGGGGATGAGGATATGGTGGTGGGGGATATGAGAGATAGAAGGGCCCAAGGAAAATCTTTGAATTTAAGACTCGATTTAAGATAGCTTCTCCTCTTCCGGCCATTAAGCAAGGAAAGCTTTGCTAGATTATTTACGTCCTATGAGAGAGAGTGTGTGTAAAAGAGAGAGAGAGAGAGAGAGAGAGAGAGAGAGAGAGAGAGATAATATATGTAAGAAGGATAGAGAAAGAGAGAATATTCTCCCTAAGGAATCGGTGTCCGTTTCAAGGAAGTTGTATAACCACCACACACGAGGGAAGTATAGTAGTTTGGTAACTCTCGAGACTTGTCGGAGAAACTGACAATGTCTCAAGGAAATTTGAAACTTTAACATCTATCTAAAAGCTTCTTAATGATAATGATGATGATAATGATGATCGTAATGATGGTTGTTTACATTAAATATATATGAAAAGAAAAAGTGAGATTATATTATTTATAAATCAAATATTTTATGATAGTTTTATGTACTTGAAATTATCAACTATTTGTTAGGAAGTTTGTTTAATTATTGCCAGGATTTATTTATCGAATAAATATATATATACATTATTTTGTAATGAAAAAGAAGTAGTATATCAAAAAATAAATATCTCAAATTAATAATTAATATAACATCTAACTTTTCCAAGCATTAAATATTATTAATGCTATAATAAATATTAATTATCAAATTAAATTAAATTAATATAAAAAATCAATGATTCTACGATATATTAATATTGATAATTATGAAATAATAAATATATAAAATATCATTTATATTATCATAATAGTATATCAAAATAAAATATTTGAAATTTTGATATATCCTAAATTTTAATTTATTTCATTTCAATTTTTACAAAGTATCTAATAAATTTTTGTTTACTAAAGTATTTTATAATTTTATAGTAATGTTATAATTTAAATTTATAAATTATAATAATATAATTATAAATTTTCTTATAATTTATTTTAATAATTTTAATAAACAAAATAAAACTAATTCCAAGAAATATACATACACCCGTATACACTCCCATATATACATATATAGATAAATTGACGTCCTATAATATATATATATACTACTCTATCCCTTTCCCTTAGATTCTGAAGCTCGTTGTCGTTGCCGCAGGGATCGTTCATAAATCATGAGAACGTTAATTATAAGGTAACGCGCAGACATGGATGTTTGGATTAACTTGCCGCCTAGAGCCAAATATGGCTGACAACATCGCGTACGAAATACGTATGACACACAACGTTAGAATGTTAAAACGACGGCCTCGAATAACGAAGAATTTCCCATCTGTCGATATAATAATCTCTATCATACTATAATATCACATATATATATATATTAGTAAGAGGAAGTTTGTGCTTGTGATGGCACAGCTGAACATATATATTAGTAAGATTCACCTATTGAAGGTACCTACAAATTTTCCCCAATTGTTTCTATTCATTCATAATTTAATTAAATCATGTCATTTCTTCTAAATAATATTTTGATAATTATAAAAAAATAAAAAGATTAAAAAAAGTATACTTACTTTGGATGCGTGGCCTTCATCATTTGTAGGGCTACTGACCGCGTTGTTGCTGTGTGCCTGATCCGTTTTTAATTCACGATGATTGCTGAATTGAACATAAACTGCTCTGCCCCTAAGTTGTGCTATGCACGAGGCATAATACGTAACCATTGTGGCAGCAGCATTTTCATCGGCCATTTCAAGGAATGCCTGTAACAAAAAATATAAACAATCAATATTCATTATTTATTTTAAATACAATCATTTGACTAACACGAATTAGAAAAACTATGTTCAAAGTTTTCAATCAAAACTTTTGCTAAACAAATTGAAAACCGAACAAAATAATCATCATTATTATTATATTTTTATTTATTATTATATACACATTTTATTATTTATTATATGCAATTATATTTACTTGTTAAATAATAAAAATCAATTTTCTCTAAATGTAAGAAATAAAACAACGTTCAAAGTTTTGCACCAAAACTTTTGCTAAACAAATTAAATCAAACAAAATTATTATTATTATTATTATTATTAGTACATATATTTGTTTATTATTACATACAATTAAATTTACTTGTAATATAATAAAAATCAATTTTCTCTAAATGCAAGAAATAAAACAACGTTCAAAGTTTTGCACCAAAACTTTTGCTAAACAAATTAAATCAAACAAAATTATTATTATTATTATTATATACAACTATATGTATAAATTAAACGTATATACACATATGTATGTATATATGTGTGTTAATAAAATACTCCCAATGGGGTATTTAGTTACCCCTAAAATCAAATAAAAAAAAAAAAATAAAAAGTTCGCCAATATATACTCTGTATCCAAATAGAAAGAGAGAAAGAAACAGTATGAGGAAAAGGGTTGGAAAAACTGGGTGGGGATTTTAAGGGGTGGTAGAGAAAGAGAGAGAAATTGAAGGTCCGAACTTCGACGTTAATGGATTTATACGCAACATGACGCTAATTTGGGCACGGCTTTTAGTCTAATTTACGTTCGAAGCGACTGAAAACATCGTAAATAAAACCATCGATGGAAAAAAAAAAAATAGCGAATGTGATTACACTCTGATTACTACTTCTCTCTTTTTCTCTCTTTTTCTCTCTTTCTCTCTCTTTCTTTCTCTCTCTCTCTCTCTCTCTCTTTCTATTTTTATTTTTTATACTATTATTTATTCTCGTTTTTTTTTTTTTTTTTTTTTTTTTTTATTAGAATTATTTACATATCGAATGATAAAATTTTCAAAAGGAATATATGAGAGAAATATTAACTCTCTTGAAAATACTCGCGTTACCATTCTCGTTGATATTTATTAATGTATCCGTGTATGTAAATGCACACTACTCGTGTGTGTGTGTGTGTAGCGTGTGTAATATATATATTCCTATATATACTTTATTTTTTTATTCGTTTACATTTACTATATTTACTCGTGTGTGTGTGTGTAATACATATATATGTGTGTATGTTCTATGTATGCATGCATGAGTAGGTGGGTTTGTATTTGATAGTAAAGCAACATTTTTAGTATTTTGTATTTCGGTGTTTTACATTTTCATGTTGTTTTATTATTATTATTATTATTACTTCGTATTTTGTACTTTTTATCTCTCTTTCTCTCTCTCTCTCTCTCTCTTTCTCCCTCTCCATTTGACTGCAATCGAACGGAAACAGAAACGACGAAGGTAACGTAAACTAGGAAGGGTTGGGTGGGCTGGGTATAAGGGGTAAAGGGAAAAAACCGGAAGTCACTAAAACGTAACTCGAGTCACGTCTCGAAGCTTATCTATCCGTTTTCGTTCCAACCGAACCAACTCACCCTCTTCCACCCCCATCCGAGACACGAACGTTAAACTTTTGCTTTTGAAAAGAGAAAGAGAGAGAGAGAGAGAGAGAGAGAGAGAGAGAGAGAGAAAGAGAGAGAATACGATAGGCCGTTTGGTGATCGTTGTTTCAACAGTGGTTGGTTGTTTCTCCGGTCGTTTCGACCAACGATAACGAGCAGACTTTCCTGCTGCTGTTCCCTTTTCAGTTTACCAGAATGTTCTCTTCTAACACACCCCATTCCACCCCCTTACCTGACTCTCTCTTTCTCTTTCTCTTTCTTTCTCTTTTTTTTCTTTTATAGATTTCGATCGTTTCTTTAAGGGCTCTTGAGAAAAACACTTTCCGTTTTGCCTTTTAACTAAGAAACGAAATTTCATTATTCCTTATCTTCTTTTATTAAAATGATCGCAATGATGAATTCAAAACAAAGAGTGAGAGAGAGAGAGAGAGAGAGAGAGAGAGAGAGGAATGTGAATAATATTTAAAATTAATTTGATGGTAATTATTCTTTAAGGAAAATAAGATATTTTTGATAAATAATATCTTTAGTAAAATTTAAGTAAAGAATTAAATAATCTATAATTGTATTTAATTATTTTCAAAAAAAAAAAAAAAAGAATATAATTGTAAATATTATTTAGTTTTATGATTATTACAATTTCGTAATTAATAACTTTGTTCTATTAATAATAATTTGTACAATAAATGTAGAAATAATGTATTAGAATAATTTGATTTTTTTTTTCAACAAAATTGCTAAAGTTGCAAAGATGCAATTATAATTTAATGAAATATCAAAACTTTTGCAAAATATTTCTACACCGTGTAATTTCACGCAATGCAAAGGAAAAAAAAAGAAAAAAAGATTAAACTATTATAAAAGGAATTTTTTTCAGAATAAAAATTGTTTGAAAAAATATACAATAAATACTTAAATAAATAATTATCTCAATATAAGGCATCATTTTCTGTATCGATTTTGTATCAGGATTATCCTATATCAAAGTGTTATTTATATCTATACACGTTTAATACAACGCGAATGCAACCGTCATCCTTCTATCGTGAAATCTATCAAAATAGATATACATAGATATACAGGTAGATATACAGGTAGATATAGATAGATATTAATCGATAACTCATCGATCGAAACGTAGAAGAATATTCAATACCTTATACAGTAGATCGTCTATGTTTGTATTTCTCTCCTTACTGATACTAAACGTTTCTACGTAAACAAGCTTTATACCTAGGACGACTATCGAGTGGGTGGTGGTTGTTGGTGGTAGTGGTGATGGTTGTTGGGTTGCTTGGTACATCAATTCAGTACGGATTTAACAGTTTATTACTTTGCTGAATCGAGATCATATCAAAATATAGATAGTATCGATACTATATTCTTTTCATATCTAGAATATATCTAAAATCGTAAGTGAAAACGATTTCTTGTTTTTTAGTGTGCGATTATCAGACAATGTTTGTAATTTTAATTTATAATGAAGAAGAAGAAGGAGTATAAGTAGACGAAAATATTCAGATTAAATCATATCAAAACAATAAAGTAAAAGAAAAGAATAAAATATGAAAATAAAATATAACAACTGTACAACAAAATTAATTAACAAATTCAAACTGTAAGAGAAAGAACTCATGAGTCGTTATTAAACAATGTTTATAATGTTACTTCATGAAGAAGAAGAAGAAAAAACAGTAAAAGCAAAGAAATCAGATCAGATCAGATCTTTCACTTCACTTCAAAGAAAAGAAAATAAAATGCAACATAAAATAACAAAAAACAAATTTACAAATTCAAACTGTAGGAGAGAGAAATTCGTGATTCGTTTCGTTACGGTTCGTGAATCACAGGAAAAATCATTTTTATCAACCAACCAACCGAACAACCAACCAACCAACCAACCAACCAACCAACTAACCAACCAACGCCAGCCAAGCCCGGTAGCTTCGTTACTCGAAATTCGAATTTCACAGAACGAAACGGAGAAAGAAAGGAAAAAAAAAAGAGGAAAGGGATGGAAGAGATAGAGATAGAGAAAAATGGGAGGGTTGGGGGGGGGGGTGGGAAGAGTTGCAGTAGGAGGAGGAGGAGGAGGAGGAAGCAGTAGCAGCAGTAGTATGGCGAGAGAAATATGCAGTTTGTTCGCGGAAATCGAGTTTGACAGGACGAACGATCATTCATTCGCATTTCCATGGAGGTCATCATTGTGCAGTAGTCCGAGCAAGCGCACGCGCGTGCATTAGATCGACGGAAACCCACCTGGACAGGTGTGCAACTCGTTGTATCCACCTCCTATATATATATATATATATATCACATCATAATCACCCTATACTCCCATCAGCTCTCACTCTCTTCATCTCGGCCCGGTAAAACGAACTAAATAGAAAGAGAGAGAAAAACACGTACAGAAATATGAGAATCCTATGCAAGAGAAAGAGAGAGAGAGAGAGAGATAGTAAAAAAAAAGTAAATAGAAAGAGATAAACGTATAGATATGAAAACTCCTATGAGAGAGAAACCTATATAAAGATATGGGTGTCCTCTTCTGAAGAAAAATAGAAAAAATAAATGTGCATGTGCATGTGTCTGTCTGTGTCTCTCTGTGTGTGGGAGGAATACAGATATGAAATGTCTGTGAGAGAGGAAAAAAAAAAAGAAATATTTATATGTATATGTGCGTATGCGACTCTTCTTGTGTATGTATGAATGTATGTGAAATTGAGGGTGTTGGTGCACGAGTACTACGTGGCGTGCAGCAGCAGAAGCAGAAGCAGAAGCAGAAGCAGAAGCAGAAGCAGAAGCAGCAGCAGGTACGATGAGAGGGTAGGGGGTAGAGGGTAGGGCACACAAACGCGAATAATATCGTAACCGGACGAGCCATCCTGGATTTAGCCGCGTTAACTCCGTTTCCCGCTCTAATGACGTATAGACCCCGAGCAATTGGGTTTTCGTCCAAATGGAGCGAAATTCGCTGCCTGGATTTGAGCCTAGGACAACCTACCCTTGTCCTCTCTAAACCTCTCTTCTCATCTTCCTTTACCACCCTCTTTATATATATAT